CACGCCATGGCCATGTACTTCTACGACCGCTACGGGTTGAGCGTCGGCACGGCGGGCACGCTCGCGTCGCTCTTCGGCTGGATGAACCTCTTCGCCAGAGGCCTCGGGGGCCTCGCGTCCGACGCCGCGAACCGGCGGCTCGGCATGCGGGGCCGGCTCCTCGTGCACACGGCCTACCTCTTCGCCGAGGGCGCAATCCTCGTCGCGTTCTCCTACGTCGACGCGCTCGCGCCGGCCGTCGCGGCCCTCGTCTGCTTCTCGATCTGCGTCCAGGCCGCCGAGGGCACGACCTTCGCCATCGTGCCCTACGTCGCGCCGAAATCGCTCGGCGCCGTCGCCGGCGTCGTCGGCGCGGGCGGCAACGTCGGCGCCGTCGCCTGGGGGCTCCTCTTCATGTTCGGCTCCGACGGCGCCGCGGGCTACCGCGCGCTCGGCGCCATCATCATCGCGTCGTCCTTCCTCTGCGGCGCCGCGGCGCCGCTGGGATGCGGGGGGGTCCGCCAATCCGCCGCGGGCCAGGGCGTCGCCCGCGCCGCGAGCGGCTGCGGGAGCGCGCCGGGACGAGGCTTTTTTTCGGACGTTCGCGGACCGGCGGATCCGCAGCGAGCGACCAGGGGGGGCGACGTCGCGGCAGTGAGTGTTAACTCTCCTCTCACGAACGGCGCGCGCATGATATTGAACGCTGGGACATGCTGATCGAGGTGCTGACGCGGGACTTCGTCGATCCTGCCGGTGGGTTTATGTTGAAGGGGATCGTGCTTTTCTTGTTGCGCGTTTGTTGCGCGTGTTGGAGCTGCGTCGCTAATGCTGTCGCTCGCGCGAGTTGTTGCCACGAGCGCCGTGCGCCGTGTGCTCAGGTGGGAGATTCTCCTGCATCTGTCCTACTGTCCTTATTTCCCCTCTTGCAATTTTAGAAGTCCGCAGCCTTACAGTCCCATGTGAAGTGCCAGTGGATCAGTTTAGATCCAAACATGTCTAATATTGCATTCTTCAAGCGTTTTCAGAACGAACGAGAGTTGACCTGGTCCAGCATGACCTGATTGGAATGACCTGATTGGAAATGATCTAGAAAATCGTGCCCCTCAATTGATCAACCNGCAAATTTTTGCGCT